GGAAAAAACCATTCACACGATGATTATTCGCTTTCTAATGTCACATTCACCATATGATACATACAGTCATGTATCAAACACAAAATCTATTAATATATCATTTTCTGAATATATTAGAACAAGTTTTCTGTAACAGAATGGTATTGATAATAATTCTCGTTGATGAATATTTTATTCTCTGGCAATTATTAAACCAAGATTTTATTTATAGTAACTGTGAATTTATGTATATATATATGATCGATATAATTGTCTTCTTGAGTCCATCCTTAATTATAAATTACTTTTATTTTTATAATCATAACTATGTATTTAATAACATATTGAGTTCGACTCCTTAAGTTTAATCTTTGTTCTTGTTGGTTACGTCGGACACTATCTTAAGTTTAATGTATATACAACGTTGCATGCTCAATCATGTTAACATTTTGTACATTATGACAAAGTAGTAAGCTGAATATTAGAAATTTATACAAAAAATATTGATTTACGAATAGATTTATTATTATTATTAATCGAAAGAAAACAATAAAAAAATGTGTTTGAAATAAATGTATGTTCGTGATGTAATTAAGGATAAAATTGTGTTGATATTCGTACTGAAAATTTATTTGTTCCTTCATCACCTACTGAACTTTGTCTAGCAGTCTTTTGTTGTACACCATCAAGATCAAGACTGTTAACAGATGGATTTTTCTCATGCCATTTATCCATAGCCTTGAAACCTAATCGACAAATTGAGATAGGTGGATTTACTAATGGATTTTCATCTAACATTGTTGATAAATAATTATGTTTCCAATCGAGTTGTTTTAATTGAGTTAAACCACGAGGTAATGTACGTAATCGATTATGTCCAAGCCAAAGTGTTGTTAAATTTTTTAACTGATTAATTGACTCTGGTATAAAATGAAGACGATTATCATAGAGTAAAAGTGTTTGTAATTGTGTAAGTTGACCAATACCATCTGATAATTGTCGTAATTTATTACTTGTTAAATCAAGAAATGTTAAATTTTTCAATTGAAATAATGACACTGGAAGATCACGTATACGATTATTTGCTAAATGAATACTTTCAAGTTGTTCCATATTACCTATATTATCAGGTAAAGCACTTAATGAATTATTCGAAAGAACAAGTATAAGTAATTGACGTAAATTACATAATTCATTTGGTAATTTATGAAGATTATTAGTATCCAAAATAAGAATATGTAATTCAGTTAGACGACCAATAGTATTTGGTAATTCATTTAATTTAAAATTAAGACAAGCTTCACGTGTTGGACTTAATTCCAAATAAGTTATATCAGGATAAGCAAATATATCCTATAAAATAAAAAAATTGATTTAATTCTCAAATAAATAAAAACAACTAACCGAACTAATCGTGTGAAGATCACGACCCGAACAATAAATACGTCTTCCATCCATTTCACTTTCTGTACTGCAACTACTACTACTTGTACTGCTACTGCTGCGTATTTGTTCAAAACTGGAACTTGTGAAAAAATCGTCAGTTAACAGGTGAGTGTTATTCTCAGTTTCGTTTGTCAATTCCGGCATCCATCCACTGCTATTCAATAACATCTTTAGATTTCTTCATTTATTCCTACTGCATTTTGTCAATCAAACATATCCATTTCTTTATGTATGTATATATGCATTAGAAAGATCAATTTTCACTTTTGTATTTATAGTTATCAACTACTTAGAAGAAAAAAATCATGTCAATTAGTAAATCAATCTCAATATTTAATAAAATGTTCTGAATATAATACAGCAAAGTAATTTATTTATTTTTTATTAAGATAAAAACAAAAAAAACTTCAAGGTTACATATAAACGACTAGAAAGAGTCAAAATTATATTTGATCAATCAATTGTAGCTGACGATTATGTTGCTGAATAATACTGAGTTTACCATTTAATCCACCAGTTGCAAAACTAAGAGAATATTAAAAAAAAATTGATTCTTTCTAAAACAAAAAATTCTCTTACTTTTGTGTATTCATGACATTTATTGATGTAAGTGGTGTTGAATTATCAACCTCAAGTTCACTAGCCATTGCTATCAAAAGAAATAATTATAAAATGAAAAGATTTTCTATCTTTCTTACAATTCTTTTGAACATTCCAAAGAATTGCTCGACCATCATTACTACATGAAATAATCATTGATGCTGTTTGATCAACAAAATGTCCACTATTAACAGTTGCTCGATGACCATAAAATTCCGTTAGTAATTTTCGTTGTCTAATATCCCATAACTTAACAAAAAAAAATATTTACCTTATAATATACTAAAGAAAATTAACTTACAGAAATTTCAGATCCACTATTATTAAATCCATTACTTGTTGACATCAATAAATTTACAAAAAATAAAGAACATTTCAAATAGATAGGCAAAATAAAATTACTTACTACATATTGATTATCATACGATATATCACATGATGTTTGAATATATTGCTTTTTTGGAAATGAAACAGCTTGAGTCATACTTCGAGCATCAAATACTCTAAAAATCTAATTTAAGAATAGTCTTGATATGTATGTGTACTTACTTGACTTCTTTATCTTCACCTGTCTGTACAATAAATGTTCCGTCATGAGACCATTTAACATCGGTAACCTATATTTATGAAAGAAAGATGAGAAAAAATCTAGTTTCATTTAACAAACCAGATTTCGTCCAATCATAATTGTTTTTAATGTTTGTCCAGTTTTAATATCCCAAAACATAACTTTATTATCTCGACTACCACTAACCAAAACGGAATTTTCTAAAACAAATTATCCTGTAGAAATCAGTCTCTATCAAAAACATTTACCTGGATTGAAATCAATAGCTGTTACAACAAGTTCATGCCCAAGTAATGTTTGCACTGGTGAATCAGAATTCGTATTCCACAATCGAATAGTTCGATCACGTGATGCACTCACAACTAACTGTACTAAAGATCCATACAAAACTTTTACAACATCATGTTCATGACCAATCCATCGACGACGAATACGATGATTAACAAAATCATATAAAACTAATGTCTATAAAAAATAATGATTATTATAAATTATTTTAAGCAGATAACTTTCATACACGATCTTGACTAGCAGTCACAAGATTTGATGAGTCAACAGGATATATATTTAAAATTGCTTCAGAATGAATACTTTCACGAATAGATCGTTTTTCTTTAGGCTGTGTAGACGTATTAGCATTCGTATCAAATCTATAGATACAAAAAAAAATGAGAAAATTACATTTGTGAAAGTTCTTTTTTTTCTTTGTTACTTTTCGTTATCATTGAAGTTTTGCGTTGATTTTGATTTACTTTTTTTTCCAAACAATTTTCCAAAATTCATTATTAATTTAATTTAATAAAAGCAGATTAAAATGAAAGAAAAAGGAAATAGCATCCATAAAACCGTTCAAAGTTCATGACAACCAAAAAAGACTTGTTCCATTCTAAGTCATCAACAAGATGTCGCTAGTATTTGACTAACCTAAAATATTATGTTTCAAGTCTTTTGTCATAAGTAAACTAAACTATAATTATTTGTAGATAGATCATATTTTTGTTTTAATAATAAAAATAGGAAAAATTTGTGAACAATTATTTTCAACAAAGGTTAGAAAAAAAAAGGGAAAGTTTAATAAATATATCATATTAAGTCATAAAGAATTATGTAAGTGCATTTATATCAAATGAAGTAAAACTATCTTGTAGTCCATGATTACGAAATGAATCTTGTTTTAATTTTGCTAGACCATTTCCAAGTAATGATAAACCTTGTTGTGAATTAGCTGCAATTGATTTTGTTTTCGATTGTAATGAGATATTTTCTGGTTCTAAATGTCTACGAAGTTGACTATAATAATCTCCACCCATATTTTCAATACTAAGACGTTCATCTGGCTTTAATAAATAAATTATAAAGTATAGACTATTTATTCTATCATAAAATACATACAGTTTGAATTAATCTTGTTACTAATACTCTTGAACCATCAGGCATTTTTTTCGAATAATTCCATTGTTGAGCTAAACGTTCTTTTTGTGAAACAGATTGTTCAACTATTAACATTATTTTAGCCCATTGTCGAAGCCATTCTTTTTTTCGTTCATTTACCATAGCATATGTGTTACCCATCACTATTTACAACAGATATAAATAGAAGAAGAAAAACGGAACCCTTTCTAACATACTAGCGATAAGCATATTAACAAGAAGTACAGCAGCAGTTATAATATATGTTACGAAACAGACCTAAAAAATTGTATCAAAACATTAATAGAAGAAATGAATTTATTCTTTACTTTTCCAATAATTTGAATTCCAATATTAGGATGTAAATAAAAATTTTTATATGCATCAGCAATTTGTTGAAGTGTAACACAAAACATTCGAAAAAATGTTTTAACAACTGTTGTAAAATCATTTTCACATTCAATACGTACGAAAAGAACGTGTAATGCTTGAGAAAATCCAGCCATAAATACGAAAAATATTAAACAAAAACGTAATAGATCACCTCGAATCATTGTATAAACCATAACAACAAATGGACCAGTTGAACGAAAACCACTAAAAATATATTTTTTTTCAAAAAAAATTTATCAATCGAAATATTTCATATTTACCGGCAAAAAAAGAAAAAATAGGGTGCTCGACTAAGTATAGAATAAACACAAAGTATATCATCAAGAGCTATTGAACATGTAAATCTAGCTGGTATCATAGCTAATGTTAATAGACAAGAAAAAAGAAATAAAACTCTTGTTGGATCATTAACATAAATAAAATGATCTAGTTTAAAATTTTGATAAGAAAATTCGCGGATAGTAACAATTAGATACATTAATGCACCAAGAGCACTTAATCCATCAAGAAAATTAAGAGCCTATTCATAGAAAATACAATTAGAATTCTTTTGTAAGTTTTTATTTCTTACTAATGCCGTTGGTTCAAATTGACGTTTACCCAATATATTTTTTATAGTCATATTTCCGAATGTCTGATTATCATACTCTGTTAAAGTATTATACCATAAAAAATTTGTATAATGACACATACATTCCGAACGATTAGATATCATTGATTTGCCTGTTTCTTCTTTATCGATTATTTCACGATCAATGCAATTGGATGGAACACGATAATAACCACGAACAATTAATGCAAGCAGACATATAGCAAAATAAAATGTAAATATTGCCATACGTTGAAAAAATCTTTTTTTAAAATACAAAATTAAGATATTATTTTGAAATTTTAACAAAATTTACTTGAATTTGATAAATGTACGCCATTTTTCATTTAATAATTGAACAATTAAACCATCCATCATATCTAAATGACCAGCGGATTCCTATGAAGAAAAACTTTAATGTACGAAGATTATCGCAACATATTTTATAGAATATGATTATAAATTAGTTTTGTTAATGAGGAAATGAGTTTTTTCTTTCCCGTTGATTACGATCATATTCATAAAACAAATTTAATAGAGACAAGAAACAACTAAATAGCTTTTCTTGTAGTTCAAGTTCTAAAGACATTTACTTCTGTGTCTCATGATAAAAAAAAACTAGATCGATTTATAGATTCAATATTGTTCATTTCAGATATGACGAATGTACATATTTCGATAGTTTAATGCGTAAGATGTTCTTGATAATATAAAGAAACAACGAAAACTTCTACTTACTCCTCGAACAATAATACTAAGTGCACTAGTATCATTTAATGATCCATTTTTTCCAATTGTATCAATATCATCTAATGGGTAACCAGCGCATGTTACATTTCCATATTGCCAATATATAGTACGAGTTTTTTGTAGAATATGATCAAACATCTAAGTACATATTGAGATACTATTCCAAAAGACAAATAAAGTCAATTTTTCTCACTTCTTTATGAGCTTTAACAGCAGCAAGTGTTAATGGAGTTAAACCTTGACGATTTTTAATATCCAATGATGCACCTAATTCATAAAGTAAATCAACCATAGCCTATTTAAAAATAAAATAGTTCATATTAGAGAAGAAAAAAGAATGAGAAAACTAACAATTCGATTATTAATAACACACATATGTAAAGCAGTATTTCCATTTGAATCTTGACAATCTGTATCAGCTCCTTTAGCAATTAATAATCTTACAGATTCTTCTTGTTGTAGAACAGCCGCAAATGAAACTGGATATTCTCCAAAATAGCAATAGCCCTCATAATCTGTTGCAACACTTACATCAGGACATTCTTTTGCTACATTATCCACTCTAAAATAATAGTAAAAAATTTTGATCAATTTATTTATCTTCTCTAAACTTACCGACTCGATTTTTGATCTTCTGGAGAAAAAAATTTACCACAACAACGTTGTGTAAAATCAACACCAGCATCAAGTAAAAATTTTACTGTTGCTGGTTCTTCATTTACAATAGCAATATGAAGAACATTTTCACCTTTGATTTAGAAAAAAAATAAATACAAAGATAAAATAATTCGAATAAACAAACAAACAAACCATAATATTCATCACCCATGTATAAATCAAAAATCATCTTAGGATAATGTCGTAGAAGTCTTTTAGCTAAAGCTGTATGAACAGGACTTGAATGAAGAAAACAAATATGAAGAATTTGTTCTCCAACACCACCTCGTTGATCAAGATCCCAACAAACAATTTTTGTTTCGTCTCCTAAATTTTACAAAATAAATTTTAAATAATATTTTATTTTCTAAATTACCATTTATTTGTTCTTCTTCAGGTGATTTCGATGTTGGAACAAGACTTTTAACTTTACTAAATGTATTATTTCGTCGTTTAACAATTTCACTAATTGTTATCTATAAATATATTTCAGATAAAAATTAATTATTTCTTTTTTGTTCTTTACCAATTTTCCTTCGCCATCATTATAAAGAAATTTTGGAATATGTTCATGTATCAGTGAATCAATTTGTGTATAATCTTTTGTTCGATTTGCAACACGCATTATTTCAACAAATTCTCCACCACCCTAAATATTTAGTATTTAAATTTTTTGTTTGAAAATAAAAATAAAATAATTACAGTCATATCAACAAAACGATAGAGTTCAGGTCTTTGTCCACCTGAACCTATTTGAGCTTTAACGCCAGAAGCAACTTCCGATGTTGTATTACCCATACAAGTTTTGCTAGAGAAACAAACGACTAATGATGATTATGATTGAATTGAAATATTCAATCGAACGCTATTTATTGATGTTGACGGTAAAGAAGAAAGAAAAGAAAGAGAGAAAATGCCTTATTTGCCCGTAATTGGAATGAGTGCCGTTTTTTGTTATATAAAAAAATATTTCAAGAAACGGAAAGGTGTACAAGAAAAATTTACCTGTCATATAAATGGTTGGAAAGAAATAGTGAACGATCGATTAGAAATACTTATTAACGTTTAATGAACATATGATGTTTCTCATAATAGAAAGAAAGAAAAAATTATTTTATATATAGAATAATCGAAACAATGAATATTTACCGAGTAATCCAACAGATGTTTATTTTTTAATTAAAATAATATGTGTGTATATATATATATATTTAATCCAAAACATTGTAATTTTATTTGTTTTCTTTTTAAATATATAAATAAGATTTAAAGAGCATTTGAGAATATTTAATAACATGATTAATTATTTTACTGTAGCTATGAAATATCAGCTCAATCACTGTACTGCAATTTTCTATGAAAAGAAATAACGATGCTAATGAAAACATCGATTACATTAACAATATTAAAAGCAAGAAGAAGATTTCCCTCATGTCGGTGAAACTTTTAGGCATACAACAGTTTTCTGTTGTATATCAAACATGTCATGTAGTACCATTGGCATTGTTTTTAGATGCAAAGTAAGACGTGAATATTATGAATTCAGATATGATTAAAATGAATGAACATAATCAAGACAGTATCTTGATAAATTTTATTAAAACATATGCTACGACAATAAACTGAAGTTTGAATAAACTTAAACAATCTTGGATATAAACTATACTAAAGATTCAGATCAAACTAAGAGAGCTCGAAATTTGAAGTTTACGAGTTTCATGTTTTTCGACAAATTGTAGCTTGTAACTATGCGCTTTTTTTTCTTATGCATCACCGGTCGACTCACGAGGAAACCTCATCAACTGTCCAGTCGCTTTTTTAATAGAAACCATTGTGATAGAGGTTATTAACCATGCTGATTCCGAATATGACCATGAGAAGTGTCCTTAGACCTTTATAGGGTAATTTTATAGAACACCGGTTTCCAAAAACCACATATTTTTTACTAAATTTTTTTTATTCGCTCAGATTATAGAGGATATCGAACTGGTTATGAAATGATAGTTTTTCCTGTTTTGCAAAAATGAACTCCACGGAAAACAATAGAAACTTTTGTATTTTGGTATTAAGTTGTTATGGTATGCACCTGTTTTATATATTTACTTGGCTGTATTTTCTCAAATATTATATTTGAAACAGAAAGAGTTGCTGTTTCATAGACAACTCGATATGCTCTATAATCTGAGCGAATAAAAAAAATTTAGCAAAAAGTATGTGGTTTTTGGAAACCGGTTTTCTAGAAAACCACCCTTTAAAGGCCTAAGGACACTTCTCATGGTCATATTCGGAATCAGCATGGTTGATAACCTCTATCACAATGGTTTTTATTAAAAAAGCGATTGGACAGTTGGTGAGGTTCCTTCGTTAGATATCCGTCAACTACAAATTTGGAGTACACTTAGCTTGACTAAAATTTTATTATCATACATTCCACTATTATTCCTGTCCAGTGCTGTATCGAATATTATATGCTACTTGAGTAGATATCTTAGAATCTTTGCATATATGTCATTTGCTTACACTCTAAGCAACGTATTAGTAATTATTATTTGATTTCATTTACTACATGTCATTATCATGATTTTAGTTTTTTATAATCTCTTATCTACTAATCCATATATTACACTATGATTGACTTTCTTCCGGTACATATCTTATTATTCATGATGATTAATTCATCAGTATTAACTAATGAGGAATAGAAAAAATTGTCTTTAACATACATTTTCAATTAGATATCGAACAAGTCAAGAGAGGCAATCATGTTCATTATCATAAGATTAATATAAATCGATGAAGACATATCACAACGCTATGCATTGTTTGATATTAAAACATATTCATAGATAAAAAAATAAGTATCAAATAAATTATTCATTAAATATACTTTGACATTTCAATAAAGCTTATCAAATCAGCTAATTGAATCATATGATTCGAACATCTATTAGAATACCACGAGTATCATATACAAAACAAGAAAAATATATTCACAAATGATTATTTTGTACGAAAGCATTTATTTCGAATCATCTGAACTTATCTATTTACTACAATGATATAGATAATAAAACACATGAATACCCTAAAGCATCTTTATTTTATTGATGTATTCTCGGTATAGAGATGAAATTGAAAGAAAGAGAAATCGATGACTTTTGCCTTGTTTCATTATAAAAACTTAAATATCATAATTCTAATTCATTGATTTAACAAATATTAAACAGATATGATCTATGAACTCAATTGATGAGGCTCCTATCCTTTCTAAACATTAGGTTCACAAATGAAATCTTTTTTTT